AAAAAAAAATATATATATTTTTACTTAACTTTATTTTTCATCACATAGGGGACACAAAGTCCCCTATGTGATGATTTTTAGGTGACAGATTCTCTTTAATGAGTTAAGCAGGGTCTAAAAGACCCTGCATGTCTCCTCTGGGCTCCACTGGATGTATTGCAATGTAGATTGCATTGCAATACATCTCTCCCTGAGTGGATGTGTGTCTGCTCTCCTCTCTCCTCCACCCGCCGATACCCACCATGTCGGCCCCGGGACTGCAGATGGGAATCAGAGCCCGGAATACATGGCAGGAGGCACATTACCGGGGATGTGGAAGCAATCAGGCAGCTTCCACCTGACAGACAGGAGTCTGCCTGTCATTTTTAGATGCACTCCTGGTGGCTGCAGGCACTGGATTGCGTGTAAAACCTCCCGCTGTCAGGTCCGTACGACATATGGGCCTGGCAGCGTAAGGGTTAAAGATGACCTCCAGGTAGAATTTTTTTTAATCTAATTAAGTATTCATGAAACATTATTAAATGCAGGCATGGATTTATGGTCATGCTGAGTCTTCTTCATTGATGAATCATAGGTTGACACAAGTCTATGACCAGATTGTACTGCTTAAAGAAGAGCCAAACTATAACACTACAAATGTGAGGTAGACTGCCAATCCTACTAATATTAGGCTCTTTGGTTTACTAAGTACCTTCTGGGACACTTTGTAAATACCTGTTGGTCCTGTCAACAGAACCACTGGTTAGGCAGATAAGCACATCCTTTGATTAAGGGACAACATTTTTCCTTTTGCAGTGAAATTACTGCAGTGTTGGTACTTTTGCTGTAGCTGCATAAATGTTGGTACCTCTGATACCTCTGGTCACAGCCTTTTGGATCAACAGTACAATGATTTATCTGCAAGAGCTTTCACTTCCTAGGGATGAAGTTTCCTGCTTTGTCCCTCTCACTCCTTCAGCACTGTCTAGCAGCACGCAGTTGCATTTAACTTTTAAATTTCAACTTTTTAAAAAAAGGTACATTACATTCATTTTAGGACATTTAACACGTCAACTTGCATTACAATTGCTTGTTATGGTGGCCATACATGCTTGAATAGGTGAACGATTTATTTTCTGATTGATCTAGGAATATTCAATACATGGTCAACAACCCATTCGATCGATATACCACACATAGAGAAGTGGATTTGGATAAATAGTTAATATAGGATAGTAACTTAAAGTAGCACTTTAGGCAAAACTTTTTTTTATTTTGAATAAAGTAATGGAGAGTAATAACCCCTGTCAGTTTTGCCCTGTGTCCCATTGGGAAAATTTACCTTGACTTCGTGTCCCATAGCCAAAGCAGGAAGTGAGAAGAAATCTCTGCAAATAAGAGGAATCCCTTGCCCCCCCTTTCCCAGGTCACCAGAACTAGTGTCCTCATTGGAAGATTTCCCCTCTATTACTGTAACCACTTGCCCTCCTGAGGATTTACCCCCTTCCTGACCAGGCACTTTTTTGTGTTACAGCACTGCATTACTTTAACTGACAATTGCGCGGTCATGCAACACTGCACCCAAATTAAATTTACAACCTTTTTTTACCACGAATGGTGGTATTTTATTACCTGTGCGGTTTTTATTTTTTGTGCTATAAAAGAACCCGGCAATTTTGAGACAAAAACAATATTTTTGACTTTTTGCTATTAAACATGTCCAGTAAAAAAATTTTAAAATCTAATTTCATCATAAATTTAGGCCTAAATGTATTCTGCTACATGTCCTTGCTAAAAAAAAATTCCAATACGTGTAAATTAATTGGTATACGTCAAAGTTATAACGTTTACAAATGGGGGTATATATACTGGCGGCGATCAGCAACTTATAACAGGACTGTGGTGGGCATTCTGACACTGGGGGGAACTGACTTGGTGTCACTAACATCCCCAGTGACACCAATACAGTAATCAGTGCTAGTAAGGAGCACTAACACTGTACTAATGACACTGGGCAGGAAGAAGATAACATGTGGGTTAAGAAAGGGTTAACTGTGTGCTGTGTGACAGTAAGCTGTGTCTGTGCTTTCAACTGTAAGCACACTGCTTTGTATAGCTGTGCTAGGCAGAGCCATACAAAGCAGTGTGCTGGAGCTGACAGGGGAGAGAACTGTATTGTTTACATATAGTTTTCTCCCCCTGTCGGTAATACTCGGCGATCACCGGGTGACGGCGAGTAATCACTGGCCGGAACCTGGTGATTGACAGCCGAGGCCACAAATAGCGCACCCCTGCCACCCTTTACCAGTATTTCTGCTATATGGCAGCGGGAAAGCGGTTAATGGGGACAACCCAAAATTGTGTTTTTACTTTACTTTCACTTTTAATGAAGACAGCAATAAAACAACAATAAAAACAGGTATTTCAATCCATCTATCCAAAAGTAAAAAAAAGTTTAACCTTTAGTTATGCTTTAATTTTGCAGCTCTGTTTCCATATGCAATCTCATAAACTGATTGGTTGAAATGCAATCATATTCATGAATGAAGTATCTTGGTGCTGCCAGTCAATGCAAAAGGTTCAATAATATTTCACACTGGTTGACAAACTGAATTTGATTGAATCTCATTGAAATTGAGGATAAATCAATCAAAAGGGAAGTCATGTCTATTCGATTGTTTTGCAGATTCCATAGCTTGGATCGAATTGAACATCAATCAGATAGAGAAAACAAGCATGTACGGCCACCATATGAGCTTTTCACTATACTGTAGCTTGCAGAAACTTCAATGACCTGGAAGCGATGTTCGGACCATAGGACTGGCTGAATAGACCTAAACATTCACTGGCATTTTAAACACTGTGTATTTAGCTGTCCAACGTCAAACAGATTGTGAGTTACTAAACTTTGAAAGGTTATCTTTGCACCATTTTGATAAACCTGTCAACAATACTTTTGCGTGGGCCTATTGTTAGAAAACCTTTAAAGAACTCCAGAAAAAAAACAGACTAGCTCATTAAAAAAAAAAAAAACTTGGCCCAAGAGAAAACCAAATCCAAAGACTGGACAGTGAAAAAAGAATCAGCACAGTGGAGAGCTTTTCTCTCTGTCTCTGCTTTCTCTTCCTACCAGCATGCTTTTTGTCCGTACATGGACTGATTGGCTTATCGTGCCACTTCTGCTTCTATCTCTGCTGTAAAGTGATAAGAAGAAGCCAATACCAAGTCAAATTCAGTTGCTTGGCCTATTTGCCTTAAAAAAAATGTATTAATAAATACAAAGATTCATTAATGTTGTATTTTATATCTGCCTGGAGTTCAGCTTAATGACAGCCTCCAGCTGTTGAACTTAATTTCACCAGAATTAGGCTGAACCAAGTACATCTCAAAGATAGAATTCGAAAGACTGTCTTGGGGTTGAGGAGAAGCCATTCTTCCTACTTCCTCAGCACAGGCTTCCTTCACAATGTTATGACTCTACTTTATTAGAATTTAAAGGCACCAATAATGTCAGCAAGGTAAGCAGTTTATAGCCAATTAGTTTATATGAAGATAATAAATCTAGCAATAAATCTTGTACAGTCTTGTCAGTAAAATGTTAGCCTCTAAGTTTAAGTATTTTCCAGTAGGTAGATTCAAAAGAAGTCATGATTTGAGACTTATCGCCATTTATTTTTAGCATTAGTTTATCCTCCTTTTTTAATGCTAAATTTGCTCTCAGCACAACGTACGAAGTATTCTTGGGATTTGTGTATGAGCCTGCAACAATGCGATTTCCGCTGGGTAAGATTTTCACTTCAATGTCAGTAGTTGTTTTATCTAGTGTATATATCTGAATATCAATCAGATAAACACCGTCAGTATTGATGCAGACTGTGGAATTATGACAATCTTTCAGTTGTCCAGGGCAATTTGTCAAGTTCCATTTCCAGTTTGGTTTGTCTGTTAAACAGAAAAACACATGTATTAAATCACAGGTAAAGCATTTGTTATCAGTGCTAAAGTACACAGGGGCTGTATAAGAAATCTGACCTATGTTAACCAAATTAAAGTATATCTAAACCCACAAACAAAACCTGAATATTTTGCAGCTTACCCGTTTTTAGATGTTATCACCGTATTTATTTTCGTTTTTCAAGCTAAGAAGTATGTTACTGGCAGGATTACCAGGTGAAAATAAAGAGAAAAAGCCTGAAAAAAATGAATGCAGCAAACACATGATTTTTTTTTAACTAATATCCACCACTCATGAGGTTGTACTGTTGTGTTATCTTTGGGGGGGGGGGGGGCAGGCTAACAAGTCTATAAATCTATACATCCCCTTAGTCACATATCTCATGGCATTACATAGACTATATTGCCAAAAGTATTGGGATGCCTGCCTTTACATGCACATGTTATTTAATGGCATCCATAGGGTTCAATATTGAGTTCAATATTGAGTTGGCCCACCCTTTTCAGCTATAACAGCTTCAACTCTTCTGGGAAGGCTGTCCACAAGGATTAGGAGTGTGTCTATGGGAATGTTTGACCATTATTCCAGAAGTGCATTTGTGAGATCAGGCACTAATGTTGGCCGAGAAGGCCTGGCTCGCAGTCTCCGCTCTAATTCATCCCAAAGGTGTTCTTTCAGGTTAAGGTCAGGACCCTGTGCAGGCCAGTCAAGTTCTTCCACCCCAAACTCACTAATCCATGTCTTTATGGACCTTGATTTGTGCACTAGTGCAGGAACAGGAAGGGGTCATCCCCAAACTGTTCCCACAAAGTTGGGAGCATGAAATTGTTTAAAATATCTTGGTATACTGATGCCTTAAGAGCTCCCTTCACTGGAACTAAGGGGCCAAGCCCAACCCTTGAAAAACAACCCCTCACCATAACCCCCCCTCCACCGGACTTTACACTTGGCACAATGCAGTTAGGCAAGTACCGTTCTCCTGGCAACCATCAAACCCAGACAGGTACATCAGAGTGCCAGACAGAGAAGCGTGATTCATCACTCCAGAGAACACGTCTCCACTGCTCTAGAGTCCAGTGGCGGCGTGCTTTACATCATTTCATCCGACGCATTGCATTGCACTTGGTGATGTAAGACTTGGATGCAGGTTCTCGGCCATGGAAACCCATTCCATGAAGATCTCTACACACTGTTGTGCTAATCTGAAGGCCACATGGATTTTGGAGGTTTTTAGCTATTGACTCTGCAGACAGTTGGCGACTTCTGCGCACTGTGCGCTTCAGCATGCGCTGACCCCGCTCTGTCATTTTACGTGGCCTACCACTTTGGTGTGCTGTTGTTCTCAGTTGCTTCCACTTTGTTATAATACCACTAACAGTTGACCATGGAATAATTAGGAGCAAGGAAATTTCACGGATGGACTTATTGCACAGGTGGCAACCTATCACGGTACCATGCTTGAATTCACTGAGCTCCTGAGAGCAACCTATTCTGTCACAAATGTTTGTAGAAGCAGTCTGCATGCCTAGGTGCTTGATTTTATACACCTGTGGCCATGGAGGTGATTGGAATACCTAAATCCAATGATTTGGAGGGCTGGCCCAATAGTTTTGGCAATATAGTGTAATTACCATTTTTTCAGTTATAAAAACAGCAGTCTTGAAGCACTTTGCTACTGTGAATAAAACTTTTCTCATCTGCTATAATGCTGAAAACGAACAAACATTTTAGTACAGCATGGATAAATAGTGTAGAGCTGAAAAGGTAAATCATCCTAACTGCATAATAAATATTTCCTAATACAGCAAATTTAAAACATCCTCAAAAATGTGTAAAGCCAATATATAATCAATAAAAAGAGCAGCTTATATTTTACACTAAATTGGATAAAATATATATACATAAGTCATAAATAGTGCAAAGAGTGCAATATATATATATATTCCTTCTTTGTCATTAAAAATATGAATTCAGCAAAACCTCAAAGTCCAAAGTGCATGCTTCTTGTATTGAATATCAAACTGTAATCAGTGCATCAACAATTCTTCAATCAAATCCATCAACTCCTGTTGAAATTCACCCTTTATATGTTCTTCCACTGCATCCTCCTGTGGAAAAGCGCTTATTGCGGGCAGCCAAAGAAGTGGATGCAGATACAGCTGCTGCAAGGTTACAATTCTGACATGCGGCTGGACTAAATGCACAGATCTGAACACACTGCATTCTAGCTGCGTGCCAGAATTTTGACATGTGACTGTGTCCATGCAACTGCTATGTCTGCATTCACTTCTATGGCCTGCCTGCATGCAGCTCCAAGGTGGATGTAGACACTTCACATAGCCTTCTACATGGAGAATGGGGCTCATCACCCATCTGAATGAGCCCTGAAAGGGTTAGCTCACTTTTTCAGAAAAAATTAAAGCGTGTACTAACACCCTTTACTCTTCCCACCCTTGTGGTCCCCTCTGAACCTACCTCCATGGGTGATGATCTTTCAGTGCTCACACAGTCAGGTGTAGCAGTCCAGGTATTTGAAATTCCTGCTCTTCACTCCTTCTTTCTGCAGCACTTCCAGGACAGTTCAGAACAATTCTATGCAGCCAGCACCGGCACAGAGAATCGTGCTGCTCCATCCCAGAAGCCTTGCAAAAAGAAAAGAGAGAAGAGCGAGGACACTGACAAGTCATAACCCATGGAGGTAAGTACAGGGTGGACTGGGGGGGGCTGAGGTAGGTGTAGGGTTTTAGTTCACCTTTTAATTTTTTTCTGAAAAGGCAAACTTACATTTTAACATTGGACCTTATTAACAGAAAAAGGTCAAGCAAGGATTTTTTCCACTAAAGGTTTGAATATAAATTCCACTTATGATCCTAATGATTATTACAATTTTTATTGTTTGTGTTTTTTATAACACTTGAGTTCTGACTAGCTTTTAATTGTCTTTATTTCCATATAACAAATGCTTTGGTAATTGCAGACCACATACAGATGTTGCAAAATATACACAGTCTATCACAAAGGTAATGCAAATGCTCTGTGCATTGTGGAATAATGCCAAGGTACTTAACAGCCATTATTTAACAATTAGTACAAATGTTGTGTAAAAAATATTAGGATTAACTAGATCTAAAGATTGGAATTTCATGCTTAGATAACTCATTATTCCTGAAAAGATAACTTCAAATAAATGCAAAAATGAATGAAGTTGCTGAAAATGAAATGCATCTACAGTTGTTCAAAATAATAGCAGTGTGTTGAAAAAAGTGAATAAAGCTCAAAATCCTTCTAATAGCTTTTATTTCCATACACACAAATGCATTGGGAACACTACACATTCTATTCCAAATCAAAACATGAAGAAAAATATATCAAATTTGTGTTGTTCCTCTAAAAAAAATTAAGAAAAATGAATATTAGACTGTTCAAAAAAATAGCAGTGTTTGTATTCTTCTTTACAAACTCAAACATTCACTATATAAACTGAAAAATGTTTGAAGATTTTGCTTTCCTTTGAATCGCTTAATGAATATTTTGTTGTATAACCACTGTTTCTGAGAACTGCTGTACATCTGTGTTGCATGGAGTCAACCAACTTCTGGCACCTGTGAACAGGTATTCCAGCCCAGGATGATTGGACTACATTCCACAGTTCTTCTCTATTTCTTGGTTTTGCCTCAGAAACTGCATTTTTGATGTCATCCCACAAGTTTTCTATTGGATTAAGATCCGGGGATTGGGCTGGCCACTCCATAACGTCAATCTTGTTGGTCTGGAACCAAGATGTTGCACGTTTACTGGTGTGTTTGGGGTCGTTATCTTGTTGGAACACCCATTTCAAGGGCATTTCCTCTTCAGCATATGGCAGCATGACCTCTTCAAGTATTCTGATGTATTCAAACTGATCCATGATCCCTGGTATGCGATAAATAGGCCCAACACCGTAGTATGAGAAAACATCCCCATATCATGATGCTTGCACAACCATGCTTCACTGTCTTCACAGTGTACTGTGGCTTGAATTCAGTGTTTAGGGGTCGTCTGACAAACTGTCTCCGGCCACTAGACCCACAAAGAACAATCTTACTTTCATCAGTTCACAAAATGTTGCGCCATTTCTCTTTAGGCCAGTCAATGTGCTCTTTGGCAAATTGTAACCTCTTCAGCACGTCTTTTTTTCAACAGTGGGACTTTGCGGGGGCTTCTTGCAGATAGCTTGGCTTCACATAGGCGTCTTCTAATTGTAACAGTACTCACAGGTAACTTTAGATCTTCTTTGATCTTCCTGGAGCTGATTGTTGGCTGAGTCCTTGCCATTTTGGCTATTCTTCTATCCATTCGAATGGTAGTTTTTCGCTTTCTTCCATGTCTTTCAGGTTTTGGTTGACATTTTAAAGCATTTGTGATCCTTTTAGCTGAGCAGCCTATCATTTTCTGCACTTCTTTATATGTTTTCCCCTCTCCAATCAACTTTTTAATCAAGGTACGCTGTTCTTCTGAACAATGTCTGGAATGACCCATTTTCCTCAGAATTTCAGAGAGAAATGCACTGTAACCAGCATGTACAACATTTGCTGCCTTCCTTCCTTAAATAAGGGCAATAATTGCCACCTGTTTTTCAAAGAATGAATGACCTCACTAAAAGAACTCCACACTGCTATTAATTTGAACATGTCCCTTTCAATTAGTGATTCAATTACACAGAATCAGCAGCATGCATGTCATGACTGGTGGGTCTGTTGGATTTCTATTGCTCTACTACACCTGCTAGTAAATTATTTGCCGTGTAGAAATATAATTTCTACCAAAAACAGTGATTGATCAGCTTAGTGATGTCTGACTGCTATTATTTTGAACACAACTGTATGTGTATTGTTTTGGATCAGGAACTAATATGTTAAAACCCTGTTCAGTTTTTATTAAAGTCTGTGTCCCCAATGGGAATATTGTCAGCCAAGTAATGGGAAATGCAATGTTGCATTTGTCACAGAAACAGGAATGAAGTGTTGAGGAAAGTGGAACACGTGCATTGGACCTGTAAAATTATCTTATTGTATTGCTGTATTAAAGTATTGATGTAAGTAATCTGGTTCCTTAGCAGGTGACACCCAGAGGATCTCCATTGTATCTTTAGATTGTAGAGTAATGTAACAAAAATTAAAATTGAAACATCACACCATTGCTAAGAGGTCCAGATACAACATTGTTGCCATAAACATCATGTAAACAATCAAAAGAGTATCCAGTGTGTGTGTTTTTTTTTTGGGGGGGGGGCCCAAAAACTCCCCCTTTTTAGAGCTTGATTACAAACAATGTGAAAAGACTAGAAGTGATCTGGACTTTTAATGGTATCTAACTTCTTTCATTGTGATTACAAGCACAGGTCCTGTCAGCAGCGGGACTGGCAGTCATATAAATGTTTTATGGTACATGGTGGTGCATTAGGCAGTTCATTCACATGAGTGGCTCACCGCAGCAGCCTGGACTAGTGTAAATAGACCCTATATTGACCCTAGTGTGTCACTGACCCAGTAAAGGCATGCAGTCATGGCCGTCTTATCCAGCATGCACCCCTGGGCCCTGCCCATGGGCCCCAGGTGCACATGGGGTTTCATCAGTGCCGGCTCTGATCTAGGGGAATGCTGTTGGCACTGCATGAGGTCTGGATTATCCAGCTGCTTCAACTTTGTTTTATTGCTGTTAGCCTACTGATTACAAAATATTAATCCGTCTCCTTCTCAGGGAGACCTCTCCACTTCCATGAATTCACTCTCCTTCCTGGGTCCTGACTCACTCCACCTTCTTTCTTGATTAGTTACTTTCACTTATTCCTGCTACACCGGGCCGGCTCACCCCCTGCTTCATTTCTTCCTCTGTCTACACTTAGGGTTGCCACCTCATTCCTTTAAAACTGAACACATATTAATTACACAGGTTCTGAAGCTAATTTATTGCAGATAAGGTACTCAGTGAGTTTACTTACCACCTTAACCACTTTCCTACCGCGCTATAGACAAATGACGGCTACAGTGTGGTCGTCCAGTTCTGAGAGGGCGTCATATGACGTCTTCCCAGAATGCACCCCCCCCCCCCCCGCACACCCCTGGGCGGCGCGTACCCAGTGCTGTCTGTAATCGCTGTGTCCTTTGAACACAGCTGATCACATGACATGGTAACACACCAATCACAGTGGCCTTTTATCATGCAATCAGTTGTGTCAAATCACAGTTGACCACCATGTAAATAAATGTTCCGGTTATCGGCAGAAAGTACTGCCAATAACCCGGCAACTGTCAAAGGAGACATCTACACTGATTACCAGTGCAGCCTCAAAAGTGCCAATCAGTGCTGAAAAGTGCTGTCTATCAGTGCCCCGCAGTGCTGCCCATTAGTACCCAACAGTGCTGCCCAGCAGTTCTCAACAGTGATGCCCAGCAGTTCTCAACAGTGATGCCCAGCAGTTCTCAACAGTGCTGCCAATCTGTGCCCAACAGTGCTGCCAGTCAGTGCTATCAATCAGTGCTGC